TATTATTCCATAAATATTCAATTTATTGAATACTTATTATACACTTCCACTGGGCTTTGATTTGAGGTTATAATAATTAAATCAGAGTCCCTGCAGGATCCTTCTTGACAAAGGAAATATGAATCTATAGACATATCTGTAAACCTGAAGTTTCCACCAGTTTATATTTTCCACTTATCCACTTTACCAATTTTCAGTCTTCCTAAATTGGACACCTTCTATGTGCTATAAAAGATGCCTTCTTTGACATTTCTTATAATATACTTGGAAATGTGCCTTGACTTAAAGATGTAGCAAGAGGTAAATACAAGAGGGGAAGGTGTAGTGTTCTACATTCATTTTCTGTGTGGGTGCTTCTTGGCTCTTAAACTCAGTAACTGGTTGCTTTGTGCTATTTAGACTAATGTAAAATGATGGAGGGTAAAGATATACTCTTCACTGCATTGGCAGCTAGCCAAACAAAAGCTCTAACAATGGTGGAAATGATAAAAGTTCTGATGAAATAGAGCAATTTCCCAAATAAGAACAATTCACTAAAGGAAATTCCATAACATTGTGCTGTTTTAATGTGAGAGAAAGATCACCTAATCTTTGCATGTTAGACTACTCAAAGCTGAATATGCAGTGTGCCAGTATAATTACTGCACAGTACTTCTATTGTCTAAGCTACCACCAGCTGGGAAAACTTTAGAAAGACAGATCCTAAATGACATTTCTCTATATTATTAATAGAGAACTGAAAATATAGGGACTTTGAGAAAAGAATACATATTGGTAGTTAAGAGCTTTAACAATAGACACAAAAGACATTCAAAATTACGGGCTCAGAGTGAAGTTGGGTCTGGAAGTGGAGGACTGAGTTGCAGATACAGTTAATAAGCTGAGGTGAATGGACACACTCTGGGGCCTGGACTAGGCTGTGGCTGTAGGGTTGACAGGAAGGGATAGCCTAGACCTGAGATACAGGCCACCAAGGAGTCTAAGTAATTGAATTCTCACACTATCTCAATAACTCGTTAAAATTTACTGAGGAGGGCCAGATTCTGTTCAAATATCTCCACATATCCCAACCAAGCTTCTAGGAGGTTTTATTTCCAAGCACTTGAAGCAAGACAATTACATTCTTCCTTATGTTAAATTGGCAACTGAAGTCAGAAAAGTGGTTGCTTGGGAGTCTTGAAGTCAGGGAATATTGCTAAAAAAGTGTTTCATTTCTGGCCCAGAGGATCCTTAACATTGAAATGAACTACTTGGTTTTATTTGTAGAAAAGGATCACATTTATAGTCCTGAAACACAGCTGAGAAGCATTTCTGTCATACTTCTTAGGTATGAAAGAAAATACATGAAAACTGCCTTCATTAAAAGGCAAGCGTTATTAGTATTCACTCTTTGTAATCATTGATTCATGGCAAAACTGGAAAGAAAAAAAATGAGGCAAGGAAAAAGAAAATACTAGTGGCTATTATGTTCATTTTGTGTTTTTACAACATTGTACATTTACCTAACTATGCTTACATAATATCAGATTATATAAAAAAGACCTTACATAATTTTTAGTCAGATTGTATAATCTTATGTTTACCATGGAAAGACCTATACTCTGTTTCTAAGGCTATGAAATGCTATTTTATGCCTTGAAGGAAGCAAGTAATGAACAGGCTAGAAATAAATTTTATTTTTTTTAAGATGGTGGCATAGGTAAATGCAGTACTTGCCTCTTCCCACAACCACATCAAAATTACAACTAAACTACAGAACAACCATCATTCAGAACCACCTGAAATTGAGCTAAATGGAATCCTACAACTAAGGATATAAAGAAGAAGCCACATAGAGACTGAAATCAAGACTCAATTATAACAGAAGGGTGTACAGTCCACATGAGGGGTGCACCGCGAGGGCCCAACAGGGGTGAACATGGAATCTGTGCCACTGGACCCTACAGAGCACCTACTACAATAGGATGACCTACCAAGCCTAGGAGACATAGCAACTCTACCTAATACATAAAAACAAACACAGGGAGGCAGCCAAAATAAGGAGAAAAAGAAACATGTCCCAAATGAAAGAACAGACTAAAACTCTAGGAAAAGAACAAAATGAAACAGAGATAAGCAACCTAACAGATGCAGAGTTCAAAACACTGGTTATAAGGATGCTCAAGGAACTTCATGAGAATTTCAAGGAACTTTGTGAGAACTTTAAAGAACTTGGTGAGGACATCAAGAGCATAAAAAAGGACCAGTCAGAAATGAAGGATGCACTAACTGAAATAAAAAAAAATAATTTACAGGGAATCAATAGTAGAGTAGGTAAAGCAAAGAAACAAACCATCAATTTGGAATACAAAACACACCCAATCAGAACTGCAAAAAGAAAAAAGATTCCCCAAAAATGAGAACAGTGTAAGAAAACTCTGGGACAACTTCATGCATACCAACATTTGCATCATGGGGGTGGCAGAAGAAGAGAGAGAGCAAGAAATTTAAAACTTATTTGAAAAAATGACAGAAAACTTCCCTAACTTGATGAAGGAAACAGACATACAAGTCATAGAAGCACAGAGAGACCCAAACAAGATGAACCCAAAGAGGTCCACACCAAGACACGTCATCATCAAAATGCAAAAGGTTCAAGACAAAGAGAGAATCGTAAAAGCAGCAAGAGAAAAGGAGTTAGTTACCACCATCAGAGCTCCCATAAGACTGTCAGCCGATTTCTTAAAAGAAAGTTTACAGATCAGAAAGGAGTGGCAAAAGACAGTCAAAGTGATGAAAAACAACAACCTACAACCAAGATTATTCTATCCTGCAAAACTATTGTTTAGAATTAATGACCATATAAAGAATTTCCCAGACAAGGAAAAGCTAAAGGAATTCATCACCACCAAACCAGCATTATATGAAATGTCAATGGGTCTTCTTGCAGAAGAAGAAGAAAAATATAAACAATAAAATGGCAATAAATACATATCTATCAACAATTGAATCTACAAACAAAATGAGCAAGCAGAGCAGAAACATACTCATAGATACAGAGAACTTTTTGTTGCTTACCAGATGGGAGGGAGTTTGGGGGATGGGTGGAAAAGGTTAAGGGATTAAGAAGTACAAATTGGTTGTTAGACTGAGGAACCTCAAAGGGAAGGGGGTTGTGGGGGTAGGAAGAGATAAACCAAGAACTTATATGCATAACCAGTGGATGCTGACAATAGTGTGGGAAAGGCAGAAGGGGGGCAGGAGTGGGGAGGAGGGGGTCAATGGGGGGAAATGTGGAGTATATCTCTAATACATTCAACAATAAAGACACGTTTAAAAAGAAAAAAAAATTACTTTTCTTAGAAGTCATAATTAACATTGATGATTTTTTGGATGTCCTCAAACTTCTTTGATAAAAGAAACAGTCTGATTAAGGCAACCTGCCCACATAAAAGCATATGTGTCCTCTCGAAAATATTTAAATTTTGTTCTACTGTGATTAGCATAAATATAAATGATCCTGTGTTTTAATTTCAGTATATTTAACTTTTTGCTTTATTAATTGGACCTATTAGAAATTTAAGATTTCTTTGTGTTTCTTTGGCTTTATTTTACTGTTTGGACTTACTTTTGAAAACATTAAAAGCAATATGTATTTTGATTTTGCTCTTTACTGTATGCACTTTACCTTATAACATAAATGTTGAGCTATTTTAATACTTGGTAAAATAATCAAGAGTGATATCAATATTTAACTAAGCCATCCTTAGGGAAAGATACTAAGAATTAGTTACTTAAGTAAATTCTGGAATAGTCTCTGGAGATAATAAACTAAACTGCTAATGCCATGACCCAAGGAATCTAGCCAAAATTGTGGACATGAGCTGTGACCACCGCTTGGTCAGATTTTGACTATGAAGGATGAATAGGCTCTGGTGTTTACAGGATATTTTCTAGGCATGAAATGCAAAAACCCTGAGTGAATCTCATGTGATTTTTTAGTTCATCTAATGACACTTGGGGCTTTCAGTGTTAAAAATGAGAAAGTCTCTGGCAAACTAGTTTGAGTTGCAAACCCTCCTACCTGGAAAATTAATATAATGTCCAGAGATATAACTTTCATTTTGAGACTATGCAGATAGAAGTATATAGATAGGGAAAATGCTAGGTCTCTAATGCCCTATCTGAGCTGCTATATCAGCTTTGAATTACTTTAAATTTCTTATTAGGTAGGAAAACCTACCTGGTTTTGTTCAAATCACGATAGTATTTTTCTCTTAAATGCAGCCAAATGTTTTCTGAACTCATGAACACATCCTGGTGAATATAGAGGTTTAGAAGAGCTTTTTGGAAAAAATGATGACTAAACTGAATCATGGTCAATATGTAAAGATTAATGAGATTTTTTTAATGGGCTTTTATCTTGAGGTAAAGCCAGAGTAGACACTTCATGACCTGACTGAAATTCCAATATAAAACCTGTATTTCTCTGACATGAAGACCAGAGGACAAAGTCCAGGTCACAGCCATTGGAAGGTAGCCATGTGTGTGAGGGAGGAGGAGTGTGTAATTCAACAAAGGAGAAAGCCAGAAAATATGAACGGCAGCCAGAGGAAAATGACCTATAAGCACGGAGAAACAATGATCAAATGGCTACTCACTCCTCACAAACAACAGAGACCAGAAAATAGTGGAAAAAAATGTTTAAGTGCTGAAAGGAAAAAACCTGTTAACCCAGAATGCTACACACCACATGAAAATATATTTCAGATCCTCCTCCTCCTCCTGGTTGGAGCGCAGTGTCCGGAGCGGGCTCAGGGGAGAGAGCCTGAGAACAGGGTTCGGTGCCTTTTCCTCTGTCCCCAGCTGGTGTCCGGAACCCCCCTCCCCTTCCTCCCCACCCCCTCCCCTCCCCAACCCTGCCCTCCCCCTTGTCCCGGGATCACTCCATCGCACCCACCATGATGGAAGATGACGGGTAGCCCCGGACTCTACAAGGACTGCTACATCTTCCTAGGTCTTACCCCTGCAGCACTTAGTTCACTGCCTGGAAAATAAGAGATATGTAGGTAACCTCTCCAGAGATGTGACAGAAGTCCTTATACTTCAGTTATTCAGTCAAATCGGACCCTGTAAAAGCTGTAAAATGATAACAGAGCATACAAGCAATGACCCATATTGCTTTGTGGAATTTTGTGAACACAGAGATGCAGCTGCTGCATTAGCTGCTATGAATGGGAGAAAAATTTTGGGAAAGGAGGTCAAAGTAAACTGGGCAACAACACCAAGTAGCCAGAAAAAAGATACTTCCAATCACTTCCATGTGTTTACTGGGGATTTGAGTCCAGAAATTACAACAGAAGATATCAAATCAGCATTTGCCCCCTTTGGTAAAATATCCTGCCCAAACTCCAAAATGATGATAGAGAATTGACCAAGAAAAATAAAGAAATCTGTTAACAGGTCATGGATGCCCGAGTAGTTAAAGATATGGCAACTGGAAAATCCAAAGGCTATGGTTTTGTATCTTTTTATAACAAACTGGATGCAGAAAATGCAATTGTGCATATGGGAGGTCAGTGATTGGGTGGTCGCCAAATCAGAACCAATTGGGCCACACGTAAACCACCTGCACCTAAAAGTACACAAGAAAATAACACTAAGCAGTTGAGATTTGAAGATGTAGTAAACCAGTCAAGTCCAAAAAATTGTACTGTGTACTGTGGAGGAATTGCTTCTGGGTTAACAGATCAGCTTATGAGACAGACATTCTCACCATTTGGACAAATCATGGAAATAAGAGTTTTTCCAGAGAAGGGCTATTCATTTGTCAGATTTTCAACCCACGAAAGTGCGGCCCACGCTATTGTTTTGGTGAATGGTACTACAATTGAAGGACATGTTGCGAAATGCTATTGGGGTAAAGAATCTCCTGACATGACTAAAAACTTCCAACAGGTCGACTATAGTCAGTGGGGTCAGTGGAGTCAAGTTTATGGAAACCCACAACAGTATGGACAGTATATGGCAAATGGGTGGCAAGTACCGCCTTACGGAGTGTATGGGCAACCATGGAATCAACAAGGATTTGGAGTAGATCAATCACCTTCTGCTGCTTGGATGGGTGTATTTGGTGCTCAGCCTCCCCAGGGACAAGCTCCTCCCCCTGTAATACCTCCTCCTAACAAAGCTGGATATGGTATGGCAAGTTACCAAACGCAGTGAGCTGGGACTCTAAACAAAATTGTAATTCATGATAGCTTCAGTTTCCTGTGACACTCTGAAGACATGGAAGTAGACATCGGAAAATGAAAATATTTATTTTAAAAATTGAAATGTTTGGAACCTTTAGCACAGCTTTGCTTTGGTGAAGGACCCATGTCTTCTAGTTCTGCCTTTTTAAGTTTTTGTTCATGATGGATATGAACATGATTTTTCTTTGTGTACAAAAACTAAAATAAAGTCAATAAAGACAAAAAAAAGAAAGAAAATATATTTCAAAAATAAAGGTAAAATAAAGACATTTTCAGATAATGGAAGATAATTCACTGTCAGACAATCTACACTATAAGAAATTATCAAGGAAGTTCACAGAGTGATGATAAATGGTATTAGATGGAATCTCAGAACTTGAATAAATGGAATATGAAATTGTAAATATATTGGTACATATAAAAACTATTACCTTCTCTTATGTATTAAAATAAGTGATTTTTAAAAATATCATACCATTGTGATGTAGGGTTTAATTCTGTACATGTAATAATAATGACTACAATATAAAGCATGCAGAGTTGCAACAAATGTTTCTATAGGTACAAGGTTTTTACGTTTTATATTAAATAATGCTAACTCTAAATATGCTGTTAAGTGTTTACTGTGTATATTTAGAGATATACCTAAAAAAGTCAATATATATACTAAAATGGAAAGGAGGAACAAAGGGAAACTGAACAGAGGGAAAAAGCAAATATCAAATAAAATATGAGATCTAAATCTAAGCATATAAACAATTATAATGAATGTTAGTGAACTAAATGCTCCAATTAAAAATTAGAGACAATCATAAAGGATTGACCAAAAGAGACCCAAATATATGCTATCTACAAGAATAATCTTTAAAATACAGAGACAACTAGGTTCAAAGTAAAGATAGAAGAGATATACTATGCAAACAGTAAGTATAAGAAAGCTGGAGGGAGGGGGCTCAATAATAGATAAAATAAGACTTCAAGACAACCAGAGATTAAAAAGAAACATTTCATAAAGATAAAAGTTTAACTCATAAAAGAGAAACAACAGTCATAAATATGTATATACCTAATAATACAGCTTCAAAATATATGAAGCAAAATTTGACAGATTTAAAAAGATACACAATTTCATTATCATAGTTTGAGATATCAACACCTGTCTCTCAGCATTTGATAGACGATCTAGCAAAATTCAATAAAGACATAAATTATATGAATGGTACTATCCACCACCTGGTCTTAAATGATATTCCCAATAACTACATAACACACATCATGTTCAAGTATACATGGTATGTTCACCAACAAAGGACATTATTCATACAAAGTATGTTTCCTTACTACAGTGCAACTAAATAAAGCCAGTAACTGTAAGAAATCTAAGAATTTACTGAATGAAGATCAGAAAGATATGACAAGCAGGATGGACTAGAGAGTAGTGTTGAAATTTATGATCAAATATCATCACATGGAATTATTATTTATCAAAATACTATAAAACTAGAGAATTACTTTAAAAGCTCAAACTCAAAGTTTTAGGTAATAATCAAAGCCTGCTAAGTATATCTAACTGTGAATATTCTCAAATTACAAGTGGAAGGAAAAGAAACAAACTATTAACTAGATTAAATAGCACTTAGGGCAAAAATAAACGTTTTTAGAACAGGCCAACAGTGGCCATTTCATCCAGGAACCTTGTAGAATGTCTATATTGAAAAAAAGGAGCTATACAACTCTGTTCCTGTTCAACCTGGGGAACCCAGAGTATATCAATTCAACTCTTTGTATTTTAGTTTCCTGTTTATTCTTATCAAACTTGGCCATGGCCCTTAGGAGAATTAATTAATTAACAGTCTGAAACCATTTGGGGTTATTTGAGAAGATGGTGTTCATTTAGGTTGTATGTCCCCAGAGTAGAAGTGCTACCGGACATTCAACGGTCATACTGTATGCTTTTCTTCTAGAGCAGAAATTTGTGATTACAATTCTTATCTGATCAGTCTCTTCTATTTGGTGGTGCATAAAACTAACATTTATTTTGAGAAGTCTAAAAAGGGGAAACTCTAGGGATTAAAGGCACAGACTTTAATCATCTTCTGGCTGACAGACTGAATTATACTTTCACAGCTGGGCAAGTAAGTGGTGGCTAAATTCTCGTGTCTAGAATGGGTTCCATCCCACCCTGGCCCTATCTCCCCAACCTTCCTTGTTAGCCAGTTCTTGACCAAAGGCTACAAAGTATAGAATACTGATACAATAAATGATGACATTATAGAGGTACACAGTGCTGTGCATAAAATAAAGCCAAGTTTTCATTTTTTCCTTGGAAAACTTTTTTAATTTCAAAAATGTAAGAGTGGTTTGAAAATACTTATAGATCCCTTAACGTACCACCATATTTGGGTGGAATATGTTCATAAGACAGATTTAAGCAAGGCAACTATGCAATTTGTCTAAAAACCTGTAATCAGAATGGTCTGACTAGATCAAATCTTTTTTTCAGTGTCTTCATAGTACCATGTTCCTAGAATTTGTTTCAATTTTACAGATGTTTTTGTGATTATTTGAATAATGTTTTTTTCCCTCTACCAGATGTTACGTTATAAGGGCAGATAGTGTGTTTGTTTTGCTAACCATTGTATTTCCAGTACTTAGCACAGTGACTGGCACACAGTGTACATTCAGTAACGTTTTTTGTTTTTTGTTTTTTTGTGGTACGTGCCCCTAGTGGGAACCGAATCTGGGACTCTCTGGTCCGCAGGCCAACGCTCAACCACTGAGCCAAACTGGCCAGGGCTCAGTAACTATTTTTAATAGAAAAAAATAATGATCAAGTTACAGTCTTTCAGCCCCATCCATATTTCTTCATTCATATAATGTAGATGATAAAATATCACAAACTGGTGTTAAAAAGATTAGATAACATACATTAATGTTCCTTATAAACAGAAAATTGCTTCACAAATCTTATGCCATTTTATTTTATTTTTTTTATGACCCTATTCCCCATATTTCTTTCCTTTCTCCACCTCTTCTCCTCTTCCTTGGCTATGTCCCCATCTCTGTATTTTTTCTTCTCACTTTGGGTTATTATGGTGATGATAATGATAATGATGACAACCACCACCACCACCACATATAAGAATCTAGGATTGTGTGATATTTCACCAGGATAAGAAGAGTGGGAGTACTAGAAATGAAAAGTACACATGCATGGTTCCCCAAATCTGTAGGAGTATATATTTTTTGACTTTGGAAGTTGCTTCACATTCTATATTTCTTTTTGAAAAATAAAATAAAGAAAACTGGAATAATGCTGGTGTCTTACCATTTTAGCTCACCAGAAAGATGAGGCTATTTTACAGTTATGTCTCTCTTTCTCTCAACTATTTGCTTTGTGTAAGACTTAACCCAGTTAAGAACCATTTCATTTGTTCAAACCCAAATAGTAAGTCCTTGCAAAGTATCTTTGGGTTCAGTGTTATGGCTATTTCCTCAGTCTTTACATATCCATGGCTAGCTGGATGGTGAAGCAAACACTTATTTGTCTACTACATAAACTGTGTCCAAAGACTTATTGCCATTTTTGTGGGGTTTAAATCAGGCTTAAGTATAGGTTAAAGACTTCCAGCAGCCAAGACTACATCTGGTTGTTTTACCCAGTGTATACCAAGTTATCTATTGCTACATAACAAACTGCTCTCAAATTAGTGACTGAAAGCAACAACTATTACATTTGCTCTAGAATTTGGATAGAGTTGAGTTGGGTAGTTCTTCTTAACTATGTGGCTTCAGTTGGGGTCACTCCATTGGCTGCATTCAGCTTACAGATCAGTTGGAAGCTCTGTCCAATTGTGGCACTGAAATAACTGAGGCTTGAATGTCTAACATGGCTTCACTGGCAACTGCGATAAATAGAACAATTAGGGAATGGATGGGCATATCTTTTTTACTGTGATCTCCCCAGCTCTCCAGTAAAGTAGCTGGATCTCTTTACATGATATCTGGGCTCTAAGAAGGAGGAAGCAGACATTCTCTTATGGTCCAGCACTGGAAGTTACACAGACTCACTTTCACCACATTCTGTTTGCCAAAGCCAGTCACAGGGCCAACCCAGCATCAGGCAATAGAGAAAGAGAGCCTTCACTTTGGGAAGTAGTAAGGCCTCCTTGCAAAAGAGCATGTAGAATGGGAGATATAGTTGTGACCATCTTTGGAAACAATATCTATCACACAAGACCTAATACTAAGGACCTATGTACCACCTTATGTAATCTATCAGGAAAAAAATACCTTAGGCAAGTCCTCCTCTCTTTCTCTTATTTAGTGGGTGTCCAAAGGAAATGAGTTGCGCCACAAAATAACAAAGGAAAGAAAACTGAAGGCTTGGTTATATCATACATGCCTCCTCTGGCCTCCTGATGGCACATCACATCTACCTCCATTCAGGTTTTTGACATGATATTAAGCTTCCTCCCCACAGCTCAGAAACACGTTTCGTGAATATTCATTTGTATATCTTCTTCCTGACTGACCCAAAGTATCAATGCACTTACTAAAATAGTAGAGGAAATGAAGAACCATGTAGTGGAATCAGTATGTGGTTGAAAATCAAAGATCTGGCTTCAAATTATAATTCTGTAACTCAGTGACAATGTGACCAAGGGCAAATTACTTAGTTTCCCGGTGCCTGGGTTCCTTCTCTGTGAAAAGAAGACAAATACACAATACAGACCTTGTTAATCTTGTAAAGATTAAGTTTAAATACTGTAAAGTACACAGAAGATGCCTCACAACATATGTTCTACGTACCTAAAAAATGTTGGTCATAATTATTCTTTATGGCACAATTTCAGTTTAAGAGTAAGTAATATTAGGATTTAGTTAAAGGAGTTTAGTACTGCATTGAATTCTTAATCTCCACGCGCTATAATTTATCACCACCAATTCAAGGGAGGTTTAGAACTGGCATGGTAGTGGGTTGTGCACTGGGTTGCCTTGACAAATTACCACGGGAAAGTTGTAAATATTCTGCTTTCAGCAATTTGTTTTCCTTCTTTTCTTTCACATATCATTGATAAAAAAAAACTTGGAACATTTGAGGAGACAGATGAAAAGAAGGTGTCCTTAAAAGTGACTACAGATAAGGAACTTGGCTCCTTCCCAGTGTTTCCCATTAGTTAAATGTAAATACCCCCA